TGGTCTACACAGCTAGTAGGGAGAAATAATATGGGGTCTACCTGAGATATTGGTTAGAATTTCATCTTCTTTAGCATGAGAGCAACCACATGGTCCATCCGGATCAACGTCTACTTCCAGTTCATTAGAGTTCAATTTGTCATCCCTGTAAGGCTGGTGCTTATCAGAACTTCCTTGGAGAATTGAAGGCATCAAAACACATTCATCCTTGGATTCTTCATGCACTTCCTTCTTTTCAACCTCCTGCAGCTCCATGCTGTGCCAGATGGGAAAGAATGACAGAAAATTAAATGAAGAAGATCTGACCCCAAGCCATGCTGGCTGGATTTGACAGGAGGCATGGCGAGTGGTCACCGAGAGTCCAAGAGCAGGCCCCTTCAAGACAAAAGGAACTGTCCTCTCTTATATGAAGAGGAGTGTGTCTGTCTGGGAATGGGAGAGGGGGTCAAGCAGGTACCCAACAGACCAACCACAAAGCTCTGATGAGGAAGGAGCCTCAACCATCCCGGGATGGTACTTTCAGGAACAGGAAGCACAGATGAACTTCCACACCAAGTGCTTCCCCACAGGTCCTAAGCCATGTTGAATTTAAGATGAAGTAGTGAAGTGAATCAGGGCTTCCCCGGTGGCTCAGGAGGCTGAGTGGCTCCTGCCAATGCAGAGATGTGGCTTCGAACCCTGGAGAAATAATTCCTGAAAGAATGAAGAGATGGAGCCAAAGCAAAGACAACAGCCAGTTGTGGATGTGACTGATGATGGAAGCAAGGTCCGATGCTGTAAAGAGCAATACTGCATAGGAACCTGGAATGTTAGGTCCATGTTTCGAGGCAAATTGGGAGTGGTCAAACAGGAGATGGCAAGAGTGAACGTCAACATCCTAGTAATCAGCGACCTAAAATGGACTGGAATGAGTGAACTTAACTCAGATGACTGTTATATCTACTACTGTGGGCAAGAATCCCTTAGAAGAAATGGAGTAGCCATCATAGTAAACAAAAGAGTCCGAAATGCAGTACTTGGATAAAATCTCAAAAACAACAGAATGATCTCTGTTTGTTTCCAAGGCAAAGCATTCAATATCCCAGGAATCCTAATCTATGCCTTGACCAGTAATGCTGAAGAAGCTGCAGTGGAACAATTCTATGAAGACCTACAGGACCTTCGAGAACTAACACCCATGAAAGATGTCCTTTTCATTATAGGGGACTGGAATGCAAAAGTAGGAAGTCAAGAAACACCTGGAGCAACAGGCAAATCTGGCCTTGGAGTACAGAATGAAGCAGGACAAAGGCTAATAGAGTTTTGCCAAGAGAACGCACTGGTCATAGCAAACACCCAAATCCAACAACACAAGAGAAAACTCTACACATGGACATCACCAGGTGGTCAACACCAAAATCAGATGGATTACATTCTTTGCAGCCAAAGGTGGAGAAGTTCCATACAGTCAGCAAAAGGAAGATTGGGAGCTGACTGTGGCTCAGATCATGAACTCCTTACTGCCAAATTCAGACTTAAATTGAAGCAAGTAGGGAAAACCACTAGACCATTCAGGTATGACCTAAATCAAATCCCTTATGTATAAACAGTGGAGGTGAGAAGCAGGTTTAAGGGACTGATCTGATAGAGTGCCTGATGAACTACGGACGACGGTTCGTGACATTGTACAGGAGACAGAGATCAAGACCATCCCCAAGAAAAAGAAATGCAAAAAGGCAAAATGGCTGCCTGAGGAGGCAGTACGAATAGCTCTGAAAAGAAATGAAGTGAAAAGGAAGGATATTCCCATTTGAATGCAGAGTTCCAAAGAATAGCAAGGAGAGATAAGAAAGCCTTCCTCAGTGATCAGTGCAAAGAAACAGAGGAAAACAATAGAATGGGAAAGACTAGAGATCTCCTCAAGAAAATGGGAGATACCATGGGAATATTTCATGCAAAGATGGGCTCAATAAAGGACAGGAATGATATGGATCTCACAGAGCAGAAGATATGAAGAAGAGGTGACAATAACACACAGAAGAACTATACAGAAAAGATTTTCATGATCCAGATAACCATGACGGTGTGATCACTCACCTAGAGCCGGACATCCTGGAATGTGAAGTCAAGTGGGCATTAGGAAGCATCACTGCAAACAAAGCTAGTGGAGGTGATGGAATTCCAGGTGAGCTATTTCAAATCCGAAAAGATAATGCTGTGAAGGTGCTGCACTCAAGATGCCAGCAAATTTGGAAAACTCAGCAGTGGCCACAGGACTGGAAAAGGTCAGTTTTCATCCCAATCCCAAAGAAAGGCAATGCCAAAGAATGCTCAAACTACTGCACAATTGCACTCATCTCACATTGCTGGTAAAGTAATGCTCTAAATTCTCCTAGCCAGGCTTCAACAATACCTGAACCATGAACTTCCAGGTGTTCAAGCTGGTTTCATAAAAGGCAGAGAAACCAGAGACCAAATTGCCAACATCCGTTGGATCAATGAAAAAGCAAGAGACTTCCCCCCCCAAAAAAAACACCTACTCATGTTTTATTGACTATGCCAAAGTCTTTGACTGTGTAAGTCACTTCAGTTGTGTCAGACTCTGTGGGACCCCATAGATGTCAGCCCACCAGGCTCCCCGATCCCTGGGATTCTCCAGGCAAGAACACTGGAGTGGGTTGCCATTTCCTTCTCCAATGCATGAAGGAGAAAAGTGAAAATCAAGTTGCTCAGTCGTGTCTGACTCTTAGCGACCCCATGGACCGCAACCTACCAGGCTCCTCCATCCATGCGATTTTCCAGGCAAGAGTACTGGAGTGGGGTGCCATTGCCTTCTCTGTTTGACTGTGTGCATCACCACAAATTGTGGAAAATTTTGAAAGAGATGGGAATACCAGACAACCTGACCTGTCTCTTGAGAAATCTGTATGCAGGTCAGGAAGCAACAGTTAGAACTGGACATGCAACAATGGACTGGTTCCAAAGAGGAAAAGAAGTATATCAAGGCTGTATATTGTCACCCTCCTTATTTAACTTACATGCAGAATAGATCATGAGAAATGCTGGGCTGAATGAAGCACAAGCTGGAATCAAGATTGCCAGGAGAAATATCAACAACCTCAGATATGCAGATAACACCACCCTTATGGCAGAAAGCGAAGAACTGAAGAGCTTCTTGATGAAAGTAAAAGAGGAGAGTGAAAAAGTAGGCTAAAGCTCAACGTTCAGAAAACTAAGGCCATGGCATCTGGTCCCGTCACTTCATGGCAAAGAGATTGGGAGACAGAGGAAACAGTGGCAGACTTATTCTGGGGGGTTCCAAAATCTCTGCATATGGTGACTGTAGCCATGCAATTAAAAGACACTTACTCCTTGGAACAAAAGTTATGACCAAACTAGATAGCATATTGAAAAGCAGAGACATTACTTTGCCAACAAATGTCCATGTAGTCAAGGCTATGGTTTTTCCAGTGGTCATGTATGGATGTGAGAGTTGGACCATAAAGAGAGCCGAGCACTGAAAAATTGATGCTTTTGAACTGTGGTGTTGGAGAAGACTCTTGAGAGTCCCTTGGACTGCAAGGAGATCCAACCAGTCCATCCCAAAGGAAATCAGTCCTAAAGATTCACTGGAAGGACTGATGTTGAAGCTGAAACTCCAATACTTTGGCCACCTGATACGGAGATCCAACTCATTGGAAAACACCCTGATGCTGGGAGAGATTGAAGTCGGGAGGAGAAGGGGACGACCGAGGATGACATGGTTGGATGGCAACACTGAGTCAGTCAATAAACCTAAGTTTCAGACTCCAGGAGTTGGTGATGGACAGGGAGGCCTGGTGGGCTGCGGTCCATGGGGTCACAAAGAGTCGGACACGACTGAGGGACTGAACTGAACTGATAGATAACCGTTACCTGGGGGTTGGTGTTTCTTGTGCTTGTTCGTCATCTTCATCTTCATCGATTTCTTCAAACAAAATCAGAAATACCCAGTCAGCTTTTAGTCCCTTCACCCACTACAGGCACAGGGACTCGTGTGGTCACAGAGTCATAAATATCTATGTGTGAGTCAGTACTGTTCGGGAGTTTTCATGCATTGTCTTTAAACAACTGCCCAAGCATGGATTTCTGATCCAACAGGCAGTCTAGTCTGTTCCTAAACTGGTAGATCATCCTCAGGACACCTTCTGCTTGAAATTGGGCAAACATCTAAATTGCCTTTTCTTCCTTATATCACCTCACATTGTCCACCTCCCATCTCCACTTCTACAAATGTATCATCATCCTGCCACAAATTCTGCCAAAGACACAGGCTCCATAAAGCTTTTCAGGTCTCACAAGATGCCCTTCTTTCTCTAAGGAGAATAACCATGTCCCACATCCCTCCATCTGGGAACATCCTGGCTCTTTCAGGTAGCTTTTGTGTGTTATCTGGGAAACTCTCCATGGAAAGTGAGTGCTCCAGTTTAAACCATTTTCCCAACACCAAGTCCAACTCTATCAAGTACCTTATCCAACACCACAAAGTGAAGGGTTTTCTCTTTTCTGCAGTGTATTTGTAAATATTCCCAAATTTCATCACTAGAGCTACCACCCACAGATTATTTCATCCAATTTACAGATGAGAACAGTTACTAACATAAGCAAAAGCAATCATTCTCACACAGTTATCAACACAGCACTCAGCCTGGAACCTGGGAACTTCCAAGCTTCATCGAGGGCTCCATTCACTCTACCAAGCTGCCTGTCACCTCCTCCTTTCTGCGCTTCAATGCTGGCTGGATGTCGCCTCCTGCCCCAGCGGCCATGGTCCATCAGGGAGGAAGCAGACCGTTGGGATACGATGGCCTCCACCCTGTGCATTTCTCCTCTGTCCTCTTACTAAGACAATCCTGCTCCTACATAGCCCCAAATAGGATATGAAACAGGAAAGCTGATAAACATTCCTAGTGGAGGTGTTCATCTTATCACCTGGGGACCTAGCAGAGGATCAGTGCTCTCAGGGTCTGTGGCCCCCTCACCTGGGCTGAGCTTGCAGGCAAGGCGCTCTGCCAAGCGGTATCCCTCAGACAGGCTCTCTCGGAAGCCCTGTCTCTGGTGCTTGTCCAGGTCACTGTGGGTGAGGAGGTCCTTGAGGTGCTGCTTGAGCAGGGCAGAGTCATCTTTCCCGTTCTGTAGTGTCTGCCGTAGCTGGGTCAGCTCTCGTGCCTGACTTCGAATTAGGATGTCACATGTTCTAGGTGGAACAGAAGACACAATTGTAAAAGGCAAAGAGTTAGATGAAAGACGGTTAGGGATTTCTGTGAGAACATCCTCAAGGAGACCTCGAGACAGAATTCCGGCACATATCTGATGACTGGCTCGGTCACTCAGTTGTGTCCGACTCTTGCGATCAAATGGAGTATAGTGCACCAGTTTCTTCTGCCCATTGGCTTATCCTGGCAAGAAAACTGGAGTGGGTTGCCATTTCCTCCTCCATATCTGATGACTGGCCTATGTCAAAGAGAAAGAAGGGAGACAAAGGTTTCCTCTGTACCAGACAGTACTCCTGTAAGATTCCGTGACATTCCATTCATCTTGTCCTTCTGTAAAGGTAAGCTAATGGCTTCCCTGGTGTCTCAGCTGGTAAAGAACGTGACTGACAATTCAGGAAACACAAGAGATGCAGGTCTGATCCCTGAGTCGGGAACATTCCCTGGAGAAGGAAATGGAAACCCATTCCAGTATTCTTGCCTGGAAACTTCATGGACAGAGGAGCCTGGTGGGCTACAGTCCATGGGGTCGTAAAGAGTCAGACACTACTTAGTGCACATGCATGCATCAATGTCTTCCTAAATCTGCATCATGAAGATGTCTCTTCAGTTCCTCACTCAGCCATGCCCATTTTCATTAAAAAATACACAAAATATTTCCTGTACTTTTATTTTATTTTATTTTTTTATTGTCTGTATTTTTAATGTGGCAACACAAAGTACTGTCCAGTGAATGACACACAGCCAGATAGGGAATGTGGACACGTATTGCTAGTGTGAACGGGGAAGAACAGAAGAATGACAGGGTCAAGAAAGCATTCCAGGATGCAGTCAGTCAGGAGGCGGTTGTGATTTAAAGGCAAATAAGGTGCCGATGGCACAACACTGTCAATGAGCTAAGTGCCACTGGTCCACTTGAATGTAGTGAGTTTCCTGATGAGATTCAAGTCACTAGTTTATTTAAAAGCAAAGTAAATTACCTCCTGAAGAGCAACTGGAGTCCATAATTCACCAACTGGTGTTGTGCACCCATTTTATCATAGTGTGCCCTGTGTCTGCCGTGAACATCCCTGCCCTCCTTACCTCAACCTTTCGTCAAGCGTTGGCTTCTCTGCCAGCTTCTCTGCTGGCCTCCGCGCCTCACCCGGCAGCTTCTCCCCCAGCACGGATTCAACGATGCCCTTACATGCTTCACACTCTGCGGAAAGAGAGACAGTGCCTCAGGGAAAGCCAGCATTGCTGCTGTGGTCACTGCCTTCAAGGGAGGAGGATGGGCCACCTCAGTGGTGGATGCAACTCCTTCTCCAGTCTCCTCATGCTGGGATCTCAGTACCGAACGAGTGTCTCAAGTATAAACCTCACCTGGACACACTGGTGTGAAATAGAATACGTGAAACCATAAGGACCTGAAAGAGATAGGCCCAAACCCTGAGGAAGCCTGTGTCATTAGGAACAGTAGAACTGTGAACTAAGTGTATTTACACTCAGCCAGGCACTGCTGTCAGGGCTTTGTCAGATTTACTCAGTCTTCACTACAACTCAAACAAGAGTTACTATTACAGCACCACACGGACAGAGGAGGAAACCGAGACACAGAAAGGTTCCCAACAGGGATGTGAGCCCAGGAAGCCTGGCCCAGAGTCCACGTCTTTCACACTGTGCTGCGGTGACCTCCCACCAGAGTCCTGGTGAGACATTTCTTCTTCACCAGCCTCCCAATTTCTTTCCTAGAATTTTGTGACTATTACAAGGAGCAGTGTAAATAAAACTTAGTTTGTCCTTTCCCCAAAGCTCATCATTTCACTTTCTTAAATAGTAGGCTTTACCACTTATGGCTCTCTGTGTCAGTCATTTTTCATTGACTCCCTCATCGCTTCACTGAAAATGACTATAGGAAAGTGACACAGACACAGGTTGTCAAGATTCTGCTCATCCCCTTGTTGTGCAAGTACCCTGGTCATGATTTCTTTCCTTACTCCAGGCCCCTCTTACTGAACAGGCAAAAATGATTCCAATTGCCGGCTGACTGTGGGCGCAAAGGGCCTCCTCACCCTCTGTTGGGTTTTTACTGGGGCTGGTGATCTGCCCCCACTTACCATCATCCTCATGTTGGTCACAGATCTTATAGCATAGACTCAGGGTCCCCCGGACCCTGAGGAAAGTCCCTCACTTTCCCCTGAGAGAGGGGAAAGTGCAGATTGTCTGATTAACAAGAAACACCTTCATTCTTGCCACAGAGTCACATGGCTTTCTTGGACTCAGAAAGGAGAACCTGCACACTCAGAAAGCATGACTTCCTTCTCACCAGGAAGTCCCTGTCTTGATGGCCTCACAGAGACCATGGTTTCAGTGAGAAGCAGACTCATCCTTAAGCTCCTTTAAATCATATCCCCTGCTTCTCACAATGTGTAACCAGGCATTACCCTAGTGCAAATAGCACAGGGCTTTGCCAATGGAACCTCAGGGAACCTCAAACCGATGGAGTCCCAGAGGTTTAGCCAAGAGGTGTGCAGGATCAGATACAGAACAGAAAAGATTCCAGTCAACACAGCTCAGTTTGCAGCTGAGAGACACAGGCAATCCTGTGCCGGCACCAGGAATCACTGTCTGGAATTTTAACTCGAATCTTACCCTACATATCACTAAAAACTTGGAAAAGTGCCTCCACTTCTTGTGCCTCAGTTTTCCCAGCCTCAGGGAACTGAAGGCAAAAGAGCCACTCTACTACCTTTCCTGCACCGTGGTCAGAATGGAATTCAAAATGACAAAGGGAAAAGGAGACCAATATGGGAGACTTGGTTTCTTAGATGGAAGACACTGATCATTCACTGCTTTGGTGACCATGACCCCAAGGACTTACTGTATTTCTGCAGATGGTTGGCCAGGGAGTAAGCAGTCGCTTGGGATATGAGGAATTTCTCTGTGAGGTCTCTGAAGTCCTGCTTGTACTTTTCCAGCTGCAACTGAAGCTCCTGGTTGATTTCTGCGAGGGTACGTTCTGCCCTCAGATCCGATAAAGAGGGAAGACACTCTGCCATGGTGACATGTGGTGGAAGAGGTAGAAGCCAGGGGTGGGGAGGAGACTCGCAGTATATGGGGGAGGCAAACAAGCAGCGTCACATTGGTTTCACCAGCACCAAGGGATGACACAGACTGGATTTCCTGATTTACTATTGGGAACAACTAGAGGGTTCTCAACCACAAAAAGAAGTTGAAGATGCCAGAGCTCAGAGCCACAGGTGCTGTGTGGGGCTCAGACTAAGACAGGAGTGAAGGAGGGGGTCCCAGCGTGCTAGGTAACCATCTGGAGTTGCCATAACAGAACAGGTAGGGGGAGGGGTTCATGGAATCTTGGGGGCCCCTGGCTTCCAAGTGCCTAGGCCATGACCATTGTGAACATCACCACTGATAGCACCCAATCCCTCAGCAGCCACTCTTGTGTTGTCTACACACGTCCCAATACCACTGACCTATGTCCTTCCATAAACTATCTAAGCTGAGTTCCCATTGTTCATTCTTCTGTGTATAAAAATATTCCTGGGAGAAATACTTTGCCAGCAGGCCTTAATTCCTGTCGGGCTGTCATAAAGTCACCTCAGATCAGTTCAGTTCATTTCAATCGCTCAGTCATGTCTGACTCTTTGCAACCCCATGGACTGCAGCACGCCAGGCCTCCCTGGCCATCACCAACTCCTGGAGTTCACTGAAGTTCACATCCACAGAGTCGGTGATGCCATCCAACCATCTGATCCTCTGTCGTCCCCTTCTCCTCCTGCCTTCAATCTTTCCCAGCATCAGGGTCTTTTCCAATGAGTCAGTTCTTTGCATCAGGTGGACTAACTATTGGAGTTTCAGCCTCAGCATCAGTCCTTCCAGTGAATAGTCAGGATTGATTTCCTTTAGGATGGACTGGTTTGATCTCCATGTAGTCCAAGGGGCTCTCAAGAATCTTCTCCAATACCACATTTCAAAAGCATCAATTCTTCGGCAGTTGCTTTCTCTTTAGTCCAACTCTCACATGCATACAAGACTACTGGAGAAACCATATCACCTCATCTTCTGTTTTGTTTTGTTTTTTTTTAATATCATCGTTTTAAACAGATCTTAAGGCTTTTCCACAACTGAAGGATGTCAAACTTGTAGATGTCATAAACTTCTTCCCTGTGTCTTCTCCAGTTTAGTCTGTGTCCTAAAAACTGTAGGATAAAAATCAGAGTACAATACTAAGTGAATAAAGAATTTTAAAAAATATTTTCTGTTCCATCTCAGTGCTTTTGCTGCATCCTGTTGTTATGTCATTTTTTTCTCTTTGCTGGGCAGCATGTTGTCTACAGAATAAACTGAAATTTGACATCCCTACTTTCTGAATTCTTTCTCTGGGTCTGGGTTGTTTTATTTGATTTTTTTTAATGTTACTAAACACTGCATTTCATACTTTCACTTATGTATTTCACTGTAGCCTCACAAGAGCTCTTTCCAAGCTGTCAAAGTGACTAGAAGTGTTTATCTTCAAAAACATGGTATGCTTGTGCCATCACTTCATTCTTGTCTGACTCTTTGCGATCCCAGGACTGTAGCCCGTCAGGCTCCTCTCTCTATGGGAATTCTCCAGGCAAGAATTCTGGAGTGGGTTGCCCTGCTCTCTTCCAGAGGATCTTCCTGACCCAGGGATCGATCCCGCATCTCCTGTGTCTCCTGCATTGCCGGCTGATTCTTTTACCACTGAGCCACTGAATACATGGGGTGCCTGTCTGTTTAGGAAAGATCTGACAGCCTCGTGCTATCGTTCTGTGTTCATTCAGTTCACCCACATATTGAACAGACCAGGGCTCCAGAGCAGTGTTTGTGGCACACACTTTGACCCATCTCTATGAGTTTTCCTCATGCCATTGACCTGTGGTTGTATTCCAGAAACAGAGCATGGTTAAGTTCAAGGTCATAGGTCAGGGGTCATGATGATCCAAAGTGAACAGAAGCACTGGGTTCAGTGACATAGAAGCTGAGTTTGAAGAAAGAGATACAGGCAGGCCCTCGGGTAGTGATGGTCTGAACCAACTCCTCATTTCCCTAGCATCTTCCTACCTGGGTCTTGTGAGTCTGAGACTCGGGGAACCCTTATAGCATCCATCTCTTCAGGTTAGCTGTTGGTCTAACCTGGATGGAGGGTGAAATGGGTGTGACAACAGGCCACTGAGCATTTGTTCATGTTAAGGTAAAAGATAGAAAACTGGAACAACTATTTATGAAAGCTTATCTTCCCCACACCCCCACACAATCCTCCAACTACAATGCTTAATGATAATTGGTGTGTCAGATTCAGCAAAGGCTTTAAGGGAATCTATTTTCTGGTTGCTGTGGGGCCTGACATTCTGTGGGAGAAAGAAAAATGTGTCAAATTTCATCATTATAAATAGGATGAAACCAAAAAAGCTCACAGAAGGTATCTGACTTGAGGTCAAATGGGGATGAATTTTGCTATGCTAGCAGAAGTGTGTAACAGGTACAGTTCATTGACTGATACCGTGCCAGGCATTGCACACATATTATGAAGCTTTCTTTGATCGTAATCATTCAAGGTAACATCATTATAGAAGAAGTACATTTAAAAATTTATTCAACTGAAGTTAAAATAAAAAAAAAAAACCACTTCATCAAGGCAAGTAAGCTATTGCTTTGCATTTTGGAGGTAGGAGAATTCTATTGTTTTTATCCTGCCTTTATCCCATTTCATACTCCTCTTTTTCTCTGTGACCTGACTTTATCCCTAGAGCCCTACCTTTTTTCAACTAAACCATTTCTATGCACTGAGCAATAGCAGAAGTGATGGCTGGGCCCTTTTAAAGGCTCCCTGAGTGCTTAATGTATTTCAGGACACCAGACACCATCCGGAGGCAAGAGCAGCCTGTCTGTCAGATTGTGTGCTGTGCTAAGTTGCTTCAGTCATGTCCAACTCTTTGTGATCCCATGGACTGTAGGCCTCCAGCCTCCTCTGTTCATGGAATTTCCCAGGAAAGAACACTGGAGTGGCTTGCCATGTCTTCCTCCAGGGAATCTTCCTGACCAGGGATCAAAACCGTGTCTCCTTCGCCCTTTCCTTTGCCCTCTTAAGGCTGACGCAGTGCCTTAAGAGGCTAACACAGGAGGGTAAAGAAAGACTCCAAAAAACCCAGAGAAGAGATTTTTAGACCTCCTCTCTGGATCCCGTCTGGAGTCACAACTGAATCGAAAGATTTTAAGTCTTAGCACTTACTAGTATGTGTATAGTTAATACCTAAGTCATTAAATGTAAACTTGACCTTCGATTTGACAATAAAAAGAAAAACAAAAAACCATGTCTCTTGCGTGTCCTACATTAACAGGTGGGTTCTTTACCACAAGCGCCACCTGAGAATCCCATCTGTTAGAATGGGCAGCTGCTTTCCCAACCCGCTGATGTTAGCAGGATGTCCCAGGACAGAAAGGGATCACTTCTTTTCAACTCAAGAATCTTTTCTCTCAGTGGCTGTGCTCTATTGGGCCGAACTCTCCTGAAATTGAATGCTCTTGCTAACTTTTTGGTTACTTGTTAGGTGGCTTGGGTATTTATAAAATTTTCTAACAAACATCGTTGTTGAAGTTTGTATTTATAGCAATGCAATTTATTTTTTAGAAAGTGGCGGCTTGGAGAAGATTGGTCCCATCAATGAGCAAACAAGGGTGAATTTAGCTTTCACTCAAAACCAGACTGAATTAAAAATTAGGCCTCTCACTTTCCTCAAGGTGCATGGTCAGCTGCCACAGGCATGTGTCCCCAAGGACTCGTGTCTCTGCTGTAAACTGGGCAAGACTAAAATGGGGTCAGATGGGCCTAGTCCTTCAACTCTAGAGTCTTCCAACAGTTCTCTGCTTTAGTCACTGCATTGGAAACACCCTTGTGCTTCTGCTCTGTCCTCCTTCTGTGTTTGGGTAAAAGTTATACATCTCATTGTGTTCTGTCCCCAAGCTGATCATTCTAAGAGTCACCCCGGAGAGTTAGCACCCACACAAGTGCACCGTCCTCTCCTGAAGCAACTGTGGTTCAGCGAGTTGAGGTGGGACCTGGAATCTATTTGTGAAAGGTACTCAGGTGTGCACTTAGTTTTACCCACTGATTTCATTGACCTCCGTCATGATCTGAGGGGATGATTATTTCATTTATGGTACTTCTAGTGTTCAAAATTGACTGGTGCCAAAAACATAACTCTCTGCTGCTTTGCAGTTGAAGAAACTGAGGCACAGAGAGGGTCTCTAACGGGCCAAGACCCCTTGCTGTAAGTGCTGGAGCCACACCCGGGTAGCGTCCCTTCTACTGTGAAACCCCAGCCCACATTTTCCAGTTCACTCTTGTGTCAGGTTCTTTCAACTAGCTGTTTCCTTCACCTGTACTGCATTTTACCGAAAACTTCCCCAATGTATTAATAATTTCTCACTTGATACTGTTTATCACAACAGATATTTTTCAGAAAAGTCTATCATTACCCCATGATGCATATTGGTGACTTTATTAAAAAACTGAATATGGGTGTGGTAACTTTTCTACTCTTTTCTCTTTCATTCATTTGTGTTCTGTTTACTTACACCAGTAGAGTGTATTACTTACTGTAGTTTTAACCTATGTTTTGAAATCTAGTAGAGTAAATCCTCCAGCTTAATTCTCTGTCTTGGCTAATTGAGATACTTTGATTTCCACTTATATGTTACAATTCACCTGCAAAACTATACCTCCCCCCAAATGCCAGCTGCAATACTATTCAGAAGAACAAGGATTTGACAATCTAAAAATAGTGTCTTCCAATCTATGAATATAATCTATATTTCTGTTTATTTAGGTCTTCTTTAATTTCTCTTAGCAATAGTTTTCAGGAGTCGTCAGTATCTGTATTCTTCAGCATTAAATGATCATGGATGTTTCTCTCTGTTATGTTTTACTGAATTTCATTTCCTAATACTGCTGGTATGGGGAAATGTGGTCGATTTTTATATGAGTCCTCCTGACTGCACCATTAAAAGTATACAACTA